CTACCTAAACGAGCCTGGATAGCAACCTAACAAGCTGAAAGAAAGAGCAAGGCAACCGAAAAAGGCAAGGATAGAAAGGAAAGGTGCAAGGGGTGCGGGGGTGTGTGGGCAGGGCGCGCGTTGACTAAACGAGCATAAACGTCGACCAAACAAGCCTGAAGGAAAGCCCACGAAAACGAAAAAAGCAAGGAACGAAAGGGTGCAGGGTGTGGGGTGGGGGTGGGGGTACAGGCCCGAAGGCACTTTCTCAAAAAGCCGAAGTCGGCGCACCCTTGACGGAAAAGCCTGAGCTACACCTAAAAAGCCTCTAGCAAACGAAAAAGACCTCAAAAACGAAGAGCAACAGCAGGAAGGAAAGAAACCAAAAAAGCGATTGCTTAGCAGTCCCGCCTGAAGCCTATGATTACTTACCCACATGAAAGCGCAAGTCATTCTTTGCTATTGATCTCAGTAAGCCCTGCGGCATAGCGTCGGCATTCTCGTGCGTGACCAAGGATCGAGGTAGGATCGGGTGCAAGACCGTGGATCTGGGAAGGGTCACCCTTTACGGGCATATGCGCACGCAGCGCCACTCGTGGGGAATCACACCACAGCCCACAGTGGGACTCTGTGGCGAAACGCACTTAGATCAAGGCTCGCAAGAGCGGTAGCAGGTATGATTCCCCAGTGAAGCTAGCGCTTTACGCTTACTGCAGATCAGACCTTGGCTGGTGAACTGCATGGTCGAGGAGCCCGCGTCAACATTATTGTTTAACATGGGTGAGACGGAGAAAGTTCATTAGCGCTTTAGAAAGATGGAAAAATGCAGGTACGTTCCTGAGGCGTCCCTCGGGAATGCCACAGTCTCAAACCACCGTCTTCGTTGGGCAGTGAACGGTGAGAGATTCACTGCCCCCGTGCTATGGTGCCACACGGTCTACCCCCGCACCCCCCTTCTCTCCTGGGTTTTCTTGGTTTGTTGGCTCTTTTTCTTCAGGCTCGATAGGTTGTTCTTCGGGCTCGTTTAGTCGACCCCCACCCCCACACAACCCCAACCTTACCCCTCAGTTTTCGTTTCTTTCCCTTTACCTTTTGTTTCTCTTTCTAGGTCTGTCTCTCCTCTTAGAGGCTTTTTAGGTGTGCGACCATGTTGTCAAGTGAGAGCTGGGTTCTTTCTGGAGATGCTTTCCTTCCTTTCTCGTTTCTCTTTCTAGGTCTTCCTTCCGTTGCTAGAGGCTTGTTAGGTTGTAGCGGAGGCTTTTTCAGAGTGCACCGACGCACCGGCTTGTTAAACGTGTGTGTGTGTCACCCTGTCTCGAAGGGTTAACTCTTCAACTCCAAGCAGGGGGTGGAGACACCTGTCTTGCTTCTGGAACCCCTATTTTCTGAGATTGTTCAGTTTGTCCGGATTTTTTCGCGTTTTTCTCCCTACTGCTTTTGCTTTTTGCTTCTGCTTTTGCTTCTGCTTTAGCTTTTTGCTTCTGCTTTTGCTTTTTGCTTCTGCTTTTGCTTTTTGCTGTTGGCTTTTGCGTCTGCATTTGCTTTTGCTTTTTGCTTTTCCTTTTGCTTTTTGCTTCTGCTTCTGCTTTTGCTTCTGCTTTTGCTTTTTGCTGTTGGCTTTTGCGTCTGCATTTGCTTTTGCTTTTCGCTTTTGCTTTTTGCTTTTCCTTTTGCTTTTTGCTTCTGCCTTTGCTTTTGCTTCTGATTTTGCGTCTGCAGACTATCTTCTTTGCATTGACACCGCCACAAAGTTGGATGATAAGACGTTCACCTTGAGCTTTGACGCCCAATTACACCAATCAAGAAACGAAGCAGCCCAGCGCTATCTATATTTGATTTGCATTGCGGGGGAGGCACTGCCCCTCCCGCTATAGTTCCCACTATCGTCCACCACCCTTACTATTTCCAATACCTCTATCACTCGGACCACCCGCTACGAGTCTTACCACAACTGCTATTTTCTTTGCGTTGACGCTGCCACAAAGGTGGATTTCTACTTTGCTTAGCCCAAAGAAACCCGAAACCACTGAAACCCAAAGACAACCGCAGAGAAGTCCCTATTATAGTTCCTCTCTCCTCTTTCCTCACTCCTACTTTTCCTTCGTTAAGTGGGATGCCTTTTCCGGAAGAACGTTTAAAGAAACCCTAAAGACAAGAAACCGAACCCAAAGAAACCCGAAACCAGTGAAGCTAAAGACAACCGCAAAGAAGTCCCTAGTAAGTGGAATACCTTTTCTGTTCCCTCCCTTTGTCACTGTCACGCTGGCTTTGGTGCTTCGTCCCCTGCCCTTTCTGCTGCTCCTAGTGCTTGTAAAGCACTCCCAGCAGAAACAAAAACAAAAACAGTAGGGAAAAACACGTGAAAAACATATAAAAAAATCATTGAAAAAACAAAAAACATCCGGAAAACATCTCCATCCATTGCTTCTCCACCAACGAAGCTGGCAGTTCTGGACGCAGAACTGACGTATATACCTGCTTTTTGTGGTGGTGTTCTCAAGCTGTGACTCTCCTCTCCTCGTAAAGCTCTAGTGAGTCTCTTTTCAAACATTCTGTTTTGGCCGACCCAGCCACTTCTTACCGTTGCATCAGCCGAAGGCTATTGCAGTAGACTTAAATGCTAATGATTGCTAATGCATCCGGATTCAGCAACTAAATGAATGCTCAACCATGCCCAACCATTTGAACTTTATATCTTCATAAGTGTGTCAAAGTGTCAACATTCACAAAGCAAACGTGTTTATTGTGGCCCAGGAGGCCAAGGATAGATATGTTTTGTGGAAGAGGTCTTGGATGGGTTTGTACTGCGTTCGGAGAGGAAGATTTGTACAAGGATGAAGATAACTCCCTACAGCAGCTGCACGAAAAGGTTGAGCAATGTGCTTCCCAATGCGGGTCACCTGGCTTAAGTCAGCGCTGCTTGCAAAAAGAGACTGTCGATTTTTTATCAATTACGACAGCCAGGGTAATGTGGCTCCAAGCAACCGTAACTGTTGGGAAAACAGCCTCGTATGGATGGTGCAGCCAAAATATTTTTGTTTGATATAATATTTGATTGAGTGATTTAAGACACTGGCCAAGTACTGAAAATGGATCTGTTTTGACATTTCCTCGAAGGATCACAAAGGATTTGTCAGTTATAGCTAGCTGCTAGGCTTGCTGGTTGCGTCCAAGCCTGTGTCATTTCAACAAGCAGAAGAGGACTCAACCCCCGCGCGAAGATGGCTTGGTTTGTGCAAGCTGCAAGATGGCTTCAACCGTTAAGCTTGAGGACCTACCACCTCGACTGACCGTAGCGTGCAGAGCCCAGCAACGGTTGACCATGTGGAGAGCTTAGAGGGCTGCGGTGGATCTACATTTGATTTGTTCACTCAATTCTTCATTCAATGCTTACTTTTCTCATTGAGTGGTTAATCTTTGATTCCGTTCTTCATTCCATTTTTTCCATGTACTGTATCATTCCAATTGTTTATTCCGCTTGTTTATGCATTTGTTATATAATTAATTCTGTTGATTAGTTTGTTCATTCCATTTGTTTTGAATCAAACTTTGATTCCAGTATTCATTCCATTGTTCATTTCATGTCCCCATTGGTGCATAGTGCAGTATCAATTCCCTCAATGTACCCGCAGAGTGCTGTGAGCTGTTGAGGCAGACGGGGTGCAGTCGCAAAATAGCTTCATGGACCTGGTTGAGCAGGAGTTGACAAGCAGTGGAAAAAACACATTTTGTTGACACCTGTGAGTCTGAGTTTTTTTGAACTTTTGTTTGATGTGGTATATGGAAATGGTGGTAGTGGTAAGGTTCTTTGAAGCAACTCGTCAAATGAACGATCAAAGAATCCAGGGACAGACTGATGCTCACCTCTCGGTCCGTTCCACCCGAAGAACCAAGCGGAGCGAACTTCGAAGCTTCGACTGAAATGGAGAAATTGAATCCCCTAGTAGCGTCCTTGCTACTAGTAGCTTCTTGTTCCTAGTATAGAGATGCCAGGAGCGCCTAGTAGCGTGCTTGCTGCTAGTAGTAAGGCCAGGAGCCCCTAGTAGCTTTTTGTTCCTACAAGGAATAAACAGAATGAACAAAGGAACAAAAACATAAAACAGCCTTTGTGGTACTCCATGAGCCCTAGCGCTAGGAAAATTGGAAGTGAGAGCAAGATGAATTCTACAGTTTCGCCTCCTCTTTGCGTGCTGCTCAGAAACTTACTGATTGAGTTGATGGAAGCTAAGGACTTTGCTTGGTGTTCACGCAGTTCTCAACCCTGGCAAGCTGGCGACCAAGAAGGATTCAGCTTTGTTCTAGAAGCTCCTTCTAGGGGTAGTGAAACCTCCAATTCACAAGACTTTACATTTGAACTGGACTGTTCAATTGTTTACTCATGGTAACACGTAAAACTACGGTAAGACGGCTGCACTGTCAACAGGTCTTGCAGATTCGCTCAGTGACGAAGGTTCCAAGGCTCGGAGTCAGAACTTGAACTCGGAGGAGTTTTGTAACAAGACTTGTAAGTTCACCTCGCTACTAGTAACAGGTGCCACGCTACTAGTAACAGGTGCCACGCTAGTAGTAACAGGTGCCACGCTAGTAGTAACAAGAAGCTAAGAGGATTTGCAAAGAAGTAGAATCAAAGAATCAAAGCAAAAGACTTCAAAAGCAGACCTTTACAACATTTGTTTGGTGACCCCAAGTAAATTCTACAGTTGGCGATTGGAACATCCTGTCAGGTGCAGGCTTTGACGACGCCAATGAAGCTACAGGCTGGAATAAAGTTTGTAGGACTTGACAGGAATGCATTGCCACATGAATGCATTGCAGGATGGATCATTGCCTTTTGTTTCATACGACTGCACCTTGTGTACAGCTGCACACCATGTGGGTTAGACCAATTTCCCGAGTCCTTGAAGGCATTCAATGATCTCTTGCGATGTTCTGCCACCAACATAGGTGGGCTGAATCTTGTGCGTTTCACGGTGGAGCCTGAGTCACCAAGGGCTTGGTGGGCTCCTGTACGGCTCAGGTGAAGACGCCAGCCTAACAATTGTGGATCCAAGTTGCAACAACCAAAGCCTGCAAAGGTGGGCGAATGCCTTGTGGTTACATGCCTTTGCTAGTAGGGTGGAGGCCATCGCTAGTAGGTTGGAGGCCATCGCTAGTAGGGTGGAGGCCATCGCTAGTAGGGTGGAAGCCATAGCTAGCAGGGTGGAGGCCTTAGCTATTAGGTTGCAGACATAGTGTACCCCACTGGAAGTGGAACTGGAACTGGAACTCCCCCCCCGGATAAAAAAGATCATCCACGCTAAACTGACATTGGCAATCACTTCCAGACTCGGACCCAGAACTGGAAGTGGAACTGGAACTGGAACTCCCCTTCCCCCTCCCCAGTCTTCCGTGTTGGACGACGTGGAACTGGAACTGGAACT